CCCCGCCGCCGTGAGTAGCCCCGCGGTGACCAGCCCCGCCGCCGCGGGAGGAAGCTGAGGCAGGGGCGGACAGAGATGCCGCTCCCGCCCGCGGTCGCCTTCCCAGCCCCGCACGGCGCCGGCTGCCGTCGGTCCCGCTGCCTCCCGGGGGGGCGTCCCGCCGGCGGGTCCCGGGGCAGATCCCCCCATGGGGAGCGCGGGGGCTGTCCCGCGGGCGCTGCGGGCCGTCACCGGGTGCGTGCTGGGCGCGCTGGTGCTGGGCACGCTGGTGGGCAACGCGCTGGTGTGCCTGGCCGTGCTGCGCTCCCCACACCTCCGCGCCAAGGTCACCAACTGGTTCGTGCTGTCGCTGGCCGTCTCAGACCTCTGCGTGGCCCTCCTGGTGATGCCCTGGAAGGCGGTGACGGAGGTGGCCGGTGGCTCCTGGCTCTTCGGCAGCCGCTTTTGTGACACCTGGGTGGCCTTCGACATCATGTGCTCCACCGCCTCCATCCTCCACCTCTGCATCATCAGCCTGGACCGGTACTGGGCCATCGCCAGCCCCTTCCGCTACCAGCGCAGGATGACGCGGCGCCTCGCCTGCTCCATGATAGCCCTGGCCTGGGCCCTCTCCATCCTCATCTCCTTCCTCCCAGTGCAGCTACGCTGGCACAAAGCCACGGATGTGAGCTATCCAGGCTCCTGGCTGCCCGGAACCCCCCGCTGCGACGTCAGCCTCAACCGCACCTACGCCGTCACCTCCTCCCTCGTCAGCTTCTACATCCCCGTGGCCATCATGATCATCACCTACACCAGGATCTACCGAATCGCCCAGGCCCAGATCCACCGCATCTCCACCCTGGAGCGAGCAGGGGGCCAGTGGCCATCTCAGGGCAAGGAGCCCACCTCCTCTTTGAGGAGCTCCCTGCGCAAGGAGACCAAGGTGCTGCAGACCCTCTCTATCATAATGGGAGTCTTCGTGTGCTGCTGGCTGCCCTTCTTCCTGCTCAACTGCCTGCTGCCCTTCTGCCAGCCCAGGCTGGAGAGTGACCGTGAAGGACACTCACCCTGTGTCGGCCAAACCACCTTCAACATCTTTGTGTGGTTTGGCTGGGCCAACTCCTCGGTGAACCCGGTGATCTACGCTTTCAACGCAGAGTTCAGGCGGGCTTTCGGCAACCTGCTGGGCTGCCGGCGCTGCTGCTGCGGAGCCCCCCGAGCCGCCGTGGAGAGGGTCAACTTCAGCAACGAGCTGGTTTCCTACCACCGTGACACCACCTGCCAGAAGGAAGGGGCTGCCCCCTCCTCGGTGCCCCCCGCTGCCATCACCGCCTGGGAGCAGCCCGGACACCTGCGGGGAGAGGACAGCGGCGAGGAGATGCCCGTGGAGAAGATACTGGTGGCTTCCCAGGCACAGGCTGACCCCGGCAGCAGCCCCAGGAGCCCACAGGTACCAGCCGTCCTGCCACGTGGCTTGGAGGCAGAGCTCTCCCTGGAAACCACTGCCCCCAGCACGGGGCTGGGGGGCTGTGAGGGACCCCACCACCCCGAACTGGAGGGATGAGGGATGTGTGGTTCTCACACCCAGGCATCCCACAGGGAGAGCTCACTCTGCCCACACCTGAGACACGACCCTCTCCTAACAAAGTCCCATCCCAGAGGGATGGGGACCTGCTGCTCTGACCCCAGAGGGAGGACAGGTCTATGAAGCCCACCCAAAAAGCGCAGAGCAACCCCCTGTTAACACCTCCCGCAGCCACCTTCACCCCTTCCTTTCTCTCACAGTCACTAGACATTCCCTGTGCATCTGTCCACCTCCACGCTTCAATCAAACTTGTGATACTTAGTAACAACAGTGAGATAATTAGATCAAAATGAAAACAACACATAGTTTGGGACTCTATAATATAATCTCACATAGACAAATCAATTTAGACTGAGCTTCGTTGCTAAAATCCATTTTTTCCCCCCTCTCCTAGTTTCACATCATACACGTGCATAGTTCTGGCCTTCAAGCTCTGTGTTTGCATTTACTTCTGGGTTTATTTCAAAGCCATCTGTCTGGATTTGCACCTCTGAATCTGCGTTTAGGCTCTTCAATAAAAATGGCTCCATTATAACATCGCTATATTTCGTGGAGTCAAAAGGCTGCTCAGAACTGTGGAAAATCCAGTTGCTTTTATGTCGCACCCCACACACAGTTCCAGGTGCTAAACTTTGCCATCCAGGCCTAACGGTACCGGGCGAGGGTCTTCCTCATCATAAAACGTTAGAAAACGTGGTATTCTTCCCATCCTTCCACAAAGCTGGTCCTCAAAACAAGGAGTTACCAGTCCCCTCCCTGGACCCGTTTGGTGGCTGGTGGGTGGCAGAGGGGAGGAGCAGCAAAAGGCAGAGCAGAGGGACGGCAGGAGAGAAAACCCTGGGGGAACCTGAGATCATTCCTGTGCCAGTCAAAGGGCTCAACACTCATCCTCCTTCCCCTGGGCAGGAGCCTGCTGGCACTCAAGGCCACGCATGGAATTAGTATTATGCACAGCAGCTGCCTTTTTTTTTTTTTTAAGTTATTAGTGATAAAAGCTGTCAATTAATGGAAAAGATTTACCCTCTGACAGGGTTGCCCTGCCTATGGGAGCTGTCTCGCCCAGGAACTAGTCTGGACTTAATACAGCGTGATGGAAACTTAGTGTACGGCAGCCTGGGCAGCAGGAATTAAGCAGTGAATATATACGAATAATGTTTTCTCTTAAGAATAATCAGAAATGCATGATAGCTTTGATTTATGAAGCCATATCTGTGTGAAGAGTGGAGAAAGCTATTTGTGTCAGTGCTTGTGGCTATAGCTTAAGTACAGGTTCGTTAATAGGTCAAACTGACCTGAAAATAAATGGATATTTACCTAAAGAAATAAAAAAAGGTCTTCGCTGAAGCTTTTTAAAGGAACAATTTAAAATTGCTCTTTGTAAGTGATCTAGAAATAATTGTTCACAACTGTATATATATTTTTCTTATCCCTCTGATCCTAAGCTGATGCCTTAGCATTTCAGCAGAGCTTTAGTTTCAGTGAGAAAGAGCTGACCTAGGTAGCACAGAGAGACATCTGTCACAAAACTCAGCTGCCATAAGAATCTGCTGCTTTGCTTTTGCCAAAGCCCTGCCTCTCGCGTTGGATTTCAGACGATGCACCCACACACCCATATTAGGTGTATTTCAACCATTTGAGTATTTCTCAGGGAAAATTCTTTTGTGAAAAATTCTCTGTTCTCCATAAACTGTTTTTTCCCCTCCCCCGGGGGGTGGAGGTGCCTTTCTGGATGTTAGGTGTTATCAGTCCGGCCCCCCCGGACTCTGATGTACTTCAGCGGTTCCCTCACCGTGGCTGCAGACTCCCCCCACGGAGCTCCTCACTCTATGTAGCCATCCTTATAATTAACTCACTTTCCCGAGTGCTCTCCCCTTTCCTGCCGCGGAGGGACACGGGGCAGGATGCACCCCCCGGGCACGGGCTGCTCCCCAAATCGCTGCTTCCCTTCAGGACGGATTTGTGTTTGCACCCAAGGCTGGCACAGAGGGGTGCACCCAGGCTTGTCAGAATTGTGACTTTTCCTGGGTTTTTTTGAGAAAAAAAAAAAACTTATGGTGATGCTGATCGGGACTTGTTCTCCCTCACCAACCTGTGTCTAACTGTGTGAGCCGATGCAGGCAGGACGCAGGACCAACCACAAAACCATGGATTAAGGGCAAAGAACAAATTTAATGTCAATACCTCATGGATCGGGGAACCTCTGAAGCAGCCCCCGGGCAGAGGGAGCAGGCAGGGGACACAGGCAGCGCGGAGCCAGAGTCCTTATTAGCAGGAGAGTCCTCGTTAGTGAGGGAGCTCCCACTTGCTGCTTGGGGCTGGATTATTCTTAATTATTCTTTTTATACATAGAAAACCCTTGATCTTATTAAATAGCAAACTAGTAATCTCTCTTTCACCGCATCCTGATTTTGAAGGGACAGTTACAAGATGTTTACTTTAATTTGTGACATTAAGGCCAGCCGTAAGCTGAGTTCCTGTTTGTAACAATTCTTTACTCTAAAGTGACATTACAAGTTTAATAAATGACGTAAATCTCTCTCCGCGATCTGAGCAGGGCTATTTATAAAGCACTGAAGTTAAAATAGCTGTGCAACAAAGGAAATACATAGCACAAAACCTGCTGCAATAAAACAGATCCAAACCTTAAAACGTAACGCGAGTTAATTTACACGTTAATTTAATGAAAAAGATCTTAAAGTATTTTATTCTGGATTTATTCAAGGATTCAGGCAGGCAGAGATTTCTGCTGGGCTTTGATCTCTTCAGCAGCAGGGCAGGAATCCCGGGCGTGTTGGATAAGGTGCCCCGAGTCCATCCCAGGGCTGTGTTATCCGAGTGCGGATGTTCTACTTGTTGAGCACACAAAACTAAGTGACAATTAGCGTGATAGCTGTGTTTTCCAGCACCCCAACATGTGAGTCACTTGAGTGTATTTACAGTCCTCCTCGCCAGTCTTCCCTTACATTCCCTCACTGCTCATTCAATCATTTCAGAAACCCAGGGCTCATGCTCATATTCCCCTTCTCCCAAGCAAACTGGCCACTGGCCAGGAGAACTGGCCACCCATGGACTCTGCCAGCAGTAGTTGCAGTGCACACACATGGGTGCAGCACGGAATGAATCAAGATGCTGGGGAAAATGTATGTTTATCTTCACGAACCAGAGGAGCAGGATTCCATCTTGAGCCAGTTTTATTTTAGTTTAGGTAGTCAGAGGACATTTCAATTTGTAAAATTTGCGGGCTCATGCTCATATTCCCCTTCTCCCAAGCAAACTGGCCACTGGCCAGGAGAACTGGCCACCCATGGACTCTGCCAGCAGTAGTTGCAGTGCACACACATGGGTGCAGCACGGAATGAATCAAGATGCTGGGGAAAATGTATGTTTATCTTCACGAACCAGAGGAGCAGGATTCCATCTTGAGCCAGTTTTATTTTAGTTTAGGTAGTCAGAGGACATTTCAATTTGTAAAATTTGCAGAAACCGTTGCTAGGTTCCCCCTTTTTTCTTTAAAGAAACTTTTTATAGCGTTCTCTGCAGTTCAACAGTTTAATGTACAGGTGTCAGAGCTCAATCTGAAAGGAACTCCAGGTTTGGTGGACTAATAAGCTAAGGCACATGATGTGCCTTATGCTCACCAGAGCCTCGGAGGGTCTTAAAAGTCACAATGCTGTTCTTTATAATGCCTCGTGGTACCCACAGCCCTAAGTAAGATGCCAAGATTCCTCCTAGAGCCCACGGGAAGTGCTCAGCACCCATGGAGGGGATTCACACACTCCAGCTGGGCAAGGAGCCACACACAGCTCTCAGTCCACTAAGGCTCGTCCTTCAGAGATAGTTATAGATGTAACTCCAGGACAGAAGCCCTCCGCCATGGTGGGGGTAACGTCCCCGCAGCGGTGGGAATACGGGGTATAAATATTCATGGGGGGTGTCCTCCCTGGCCAGAAGCCTTTCTCCGCTTTATCACACAATAGCCATCCCAGAAGGAGCCGCAACAGGTGTTTTACCGACATTAGTATTATTTATCCCAGATTCCCTGGCCGTGACCCATCAACTTCAAAGGACAATAAAGCTGCTCTCCTGCAGCACAACGCTCCCCGTTCTGCTCCCCGGTTCCCGCCCCCTCGGGAGTAGCCGGTTCCCGCTGCCTCTCCCGCCCCGCCGGGGCCCCGGACGGTGTTGCGGTACCGGCGAGCAGTTTCCCCGCACAAAAGGGAAGGGGGGACGGACGGACGGACGAGGAGGTTCCCGCAAGTCGGTGCCGTCGGGGCACAGAGTCCCCCGCGTGTCCCCGCGCTGTCCCCCCGCGGGCCGGGGAGGGGCGTCGGCGGGGGCAGCCCCCGGCCATTGATAACGCCCGGCCCCGCCGGCGGAGAGCGCAGACCGCGGGACCGGGCACCGCCAGGACCGGGCACCTCCGTCCGCCCCACAGCACGCCGTGAGTCACCCGGGACGGAGCGGGAAATACCGGGGAGGGGGGCGACACTGGGGGGAAACGGGGCTCGGGGGGAAGGAGGGGGCTTTGGGGAGCGCTTTGCCGGGAGCCGGCTCCGGCTGCCCTGCCCCGGCCGCTCGCTGCTCCCGCGCCGCCACCGGCGGG